TAAAAAAAAAAAAAAAAACCAACAAAAAACAAATTGCATTGGAAAATTTGCTGCCAGGGACCTCTCCAGAGTACTGAAGAGGAATGATGTCAGCCTAGAGACTAAGGTGTGCCCGATACAGGCCATGGTCTTCACAATCACTTGCTAGGCATCAGAGAACTGGATGATGACTAAGAATGATACAAGAATTGATGCCATTGAGTTGTGGTGCTGGAGAAGAGTATTGAATATACCATGGACTGCTAAGAGAACAGGTTCATCCTAGAGAGAGTGAAACCAGGCTGCTCCTAGAAGGCAAGAATTTTGAAGCTCAGTTTGACATACTTTGGGCATGTTGCAAGGAGGAATTAGTCCTTGGAGAGGGACATTATGCTTGGAAGTGTGGAGGGAGAGTGCAAGAAAGGAAGACCTTGGATGAGATGGATTGACTCACTGACTGGGGTTATCGAAGTAGGTATGTCAGAGATAATGAAGTTGGTTCAGGACAGAGCAGGGTTCAGAGCTGTTGTACATAGGGTCACTATGAGCCAGAGTTAGAGTCAACTCGATGGCTTATGACAACAACAAAAGCAACAAGTCTTGTGAGACTGGTCATTCATTGCCTAGCCCCACCTCAGGACCTCTGGAATTGGATCCTCTACATTCCTAAGGAGGGGGCATCTGTTTTTTACCTCCCTTCCTATTTAGTTTAAATTAAATATTTCTTACTTTTAATGGACTGTACATACTGTACAAGTTTGAATTTCTCAACCACAGTGTATTTATTGATTTGATCTGTATGCTTGCTGTTCCCTTTGCCTGGAATGTTCTTCCTATCAATCTTGGCCTTGTCAATGCCTACATACCTTTCACATCCCAGCTAAAACAGGAAGCCTACTTCTCTGAGCCTACTAAGGTCCCCTATTTATGTATGCCCCCAGTAAAGTTCCTAGTACACATCACATTTTCCCTTTTAAACATCATCACGCTTACATTTTTTGCTCATTGTTTGTTTTCTCCTCTATAAATTATCTGAGGGCAGGAAACATGTCTATCTTTTTCATTTCTCTCTGCCCAGAATTTCTTGAGTTGTATTTGGTGCTCAGTTCATCTTGTTTGAAGAATGGATACTTCTTCTAATTGCCGTTTCTCTTTGATTTGCCTGTGGTTTTGGAAAGCCCATTTATGAGGTATGTTCTTACAGTGCATGCTCGCCTTCTTGCTAGTCCTTTTTGGAGCCATTTTTTTGGCCTCTGTGGATTTTTTCCTGGGAGAAGAATTTGATGGTGGTTAGAGTGAGGGGGAAGCTCTGTTAGAAGGAAACACTTTCTATGTCAGGGGTTGAATAGGGGAATCTTTATCAAATCCACACATTGTGTTGAGGTGGGACAGAGGAGTCATGTGCATTTGTCTAGATTACCTCTCCCTCCCCACCCTCTGGTGTAGGGGAGAGGAGGCTGTGAGGAAAGGCAGTTGAGGAACATTGCCAACTGGTAAGAAAATTCCAGAGAAAGAAATAGAGTTAAACGTACCATCTCTAGACGTCTGTAGAATGTATCTTAACAGGTTTTGCTATTTTTCCTTAAAATGAAGATACATAAGTGTACAGTACTGGCAATTGCCCTACCTAATAGCTAGAAGTATATGTGTCATCATTCAACAAATGCTTATTAAGGCCTCCAATGTTCAGGCTTAAGGAGCTCAATGGCACAGTGATTTGATGCTTGGCTACTAAACAAAAGGTCAGTGATTTGAGCTCACCACCTACTCCTTTGGATAGCTATGTGACAGTCTGTTTTTATGAAAATTTCAGCTTTGTGAATCCTATGGGACAATTCAACTCCATCCTATAGGGTTTCTGACTCAGAAGTCACTTGAGGGCATTGAGTTTATATTCAGGTGTTGTGAACAAGAAGTAAAGGTGAATGTAGTCCTTCTTCAGGGACTTAGGCCTTCCGGTGGAAGAGGGGGCCCAGCCTGGCCTTGCCCTTGGTGATGCAGTAGGGAACGCCCATCTTCTGACACAAGGCTGGCAGGAAGACCACCAGCTCTATGGGGTCCATGTCGTGTGCAATCACCACCTGTTGGGCCTTCTCCACCAGGGTGGTGATCGTATTCACCTTGGCTCGGAGGACAGGGGGTATCTTGTTAGGGGTGTCCCCTTTGCCAGGCCAGTCCCTTTCTCAGGCCAGGCCAGCAGCCTCTGCTTCTTCTCCTTCTTGGTCTCTGGTTGGTATTTGTGGGCCAGCGTCAGCAGTTGAGTCTGGCCTTCCAAGGCTTGACTAAACTGGTTAATGGCTGGTGGCACCTTGAGTCATCTGTAGAAGATTGCCTTTTGCTGCTGCAGTTGGATGTAGTGGGGCCATTTGACAAAGTGGGTAAGGTCCCTTTTGGGTTGGATATCATGCCCGATGCCAAAGTTTTTGCGTCTTTTCTTGAAGAAGGGATTCACCACCTTCTTGATCTCCTTCTTTTTGACCACAGCGGGTGCTGGGGTCACTTTCTTCCCCTTGGCCTTCTTTCCCTTAGGCATCTTGGGCGGATGGATGAGAGAGTGAAAGTCCACGAATTTTGAGATGTGATGCTGAGACAAACTGGAATGTCCAGAGTCTGAGGAACACAGGAGAGGGAGTCAGAATTTCTGCTTGTTTGGGAAGCTAACCCATTGCTATGTCTCTTACAATGTTTGCATGCCTTGAAGACAATTGTTTACTTAAAAAATATTCCCTGTACAAACATGCCTTGTGATTTTCTGTATCATCTCTCAGTCCTCTGGGATGTCATAGATCCTAAATGTTAAGAATAGGAGACCTATCTGCAAGTGATTTTCCAAACTGGCCTTGCGACTCCCACATGTATAAAAATATGCTAGTGAAGAGAATAAATGACATGATGGCTGCAGCATGTTTAGCATAGTGCCTGGTACATCCAAACCAGACCGATGGTCCTAGAGGTGTACTAACACTTAACGATCTTCCTCTGTTGGATTTCTGAAGTAATAAATCTTTAGGAGAGAAAACAGCCCATCTTTCTACTTTGAAGTGACTTGTGTTTTCAAACTTCTAGTTAGCAGCCTGATGTGTTAATATGCTGTGCTTACATGTTGTTATTGTTGTTATGTGCTGTCGAGTCATTTGCGACTTATAGTGACCCTATGCACAACAGCCCTAAACC